TTTTGAAATATTCGTAGAAAGTTTAGGAAAGGATTAAAGGTGAGAAAAAAAATTCTAGGCCGAAGTATATTTTATATATACTAGCTGACCTTCTATACTTCGTTTCGATATACATTTTATAAAGATTATGTATAAAAAAAATAACAAACAAACAACTCCACTCGACTCACACCGATCACCATATTGAAATTGGAACGCTCAACCATAGACAATAACGATGGTATCGATGGCCGTTTAGCATACAACATCGTTTAGTTTGGCAAAGGTATCACTCATACAGCCGTTGACCTTTTTTGTGACACAATTAATAATAATTGTTTTCTTTATTTGGAATGAATGGAGTTCAGTAAAATGGCGCCTTGAACGTTATGGGTGTACTTCCGGTATTTTAAAATCGTAATTAAAATGTATATACGTACCTATTTTAATTATATATTACCTTGTTGGTTTAGTAGTCGCAAGTGGACAGCTTGGCAAAAATAATTTAGAATAATTGAGGTCGCTAGTACAAATACCTAAACATCATTGATGCTTTTTTGATTTCGAACCCTCATGTTTAAGAATCGAGCAGCTTAACCATCTAGGTGCTTACTCTTGAAACCAATCTCAATGTCAATGCAATTTCAATCCAATAAAATCTCAATAGTGAATAACTATGTCAAAACTATACAACCCCAATCGTAACTGTTAAAATAGTATTCAGAGTACAGAATATAAAGCCAACAAACTCAATATCATTTAGTTCATTCAATATCCACGCAATACGGATGTAATGAGCGCTAGTGTTGCAACTAAAGAGTGCGAAATTTAACAATGTCAATGTCGATCGATCGAAATTGGATTCAAGAGTAAGCTCTGATCACCACATGTGATCTGTTACAGCCAAATATTTAAAAGTCTTTGTTCAAATTTCCACGGTCTCCGGCGAGATATCGATGACACTTTGTACACCGCTGACAATGGAATGAACGCCCTGGGTGACGTGAGACAGTGTCAGACTCTTACTGACTATAAACCACCCCGTTTCTGCTCTTCGAGCCGGAGCCCCGGTAACCCGTTAAGTCTTTCGTGGATCTGCGAGCTTAGTGGCTACTTATAATATACTTTATACTTCCACACGGTTTCACACGCTCTGCTCAGCTCCTATTGGTCGTAGCGTGATGTTTTATAGCCTATAGCCATCCTCGATAAATGCGCTATCCAACACAAAAATAATTATTGAAATCAGACTTGTAGTTACAGAGATTAGCACGTTCAAACAAACAAACAAAAAACAAACTCTTCCGCTTTATATAATATATAAGATATAAGATAAGAGTACCTCAGATTATATTTTTTTTATGGCATAAGCCGGTAAACGAGCTGACGGATTACCTGATGGTAAGCAATCGCCGTCGCCCATGAACACCTGGAACACTAGAGGCTTTACAAGTGAGAGATTTAAAATTTGAGGATTGTTGGGGATTCAGGGATTGGGGAAGGGGAGGGGTAATTGGGCCTTTGGTAAACTCACTCAAACGACGAAACACAACGCAAGCGTTGTTTCACGTCGGTATCACTCCGGTCGAGCCGGCCCATTCGCGCCGAAACATAGCTCTCTTACACTTAATATAAATAAAAAAATATTTTCTAAATACAATTCACTGTCGATGGGCAACATGTTAGATGCGAAGTGATTTAGTTAATCGGTACCTACCTGTGTACTATATTAACTAGATATTCGTTTAATACCTTTAATACCTATGTCGCAGACAATGATGGAGAACGGCTACATATTTTAGATATAAACATAAGCATCGTCCATACTTTTGTACATGAAAAATTATTATGTTTACAATATGTGTTTGATACTCCGCGAATCAATTAAAGCACAATACACCGCCATCTAGTATCAAATAGTCAAAACTATATATTGTTTTTTACTCATACAAAATAAAATATTTAATACCCATGATGCTCAGTTTTATAATTTTACATATAAACCACGTTCGTCGACGTATTGTGTATTTTAATTACTCTTATGATAATATATATATAATCATTTCCTAAACGCCGGTTAACGTAAAAATAAACTCAAGGGCCAATAGGGTAAGTTTATAGGCCATGATGCGGAGCGAGGGGGATTGGGATGCCGTCTCCTCCTTTTGCGAAGCAGTCATGCTAGCTAAGGAGGAGGCGGGACGCGTGAGGCAGCGAAGCGCTGCCTCCTCGCAACCCAGCCATCGCGAAGGACACACCGGGCGTCGGGGATCGCGGGACGATCTCCGGCCACCGTAACGGGCCTGCGGACGGCGAGCATGGGTGGCTCCCCGTCCGACCAGAAACAGACCCGAGCGTACGGCGCGTCGCGTTCCGCGCGCGCCTCAAAGAGCCATCAGACCACCACAGATGGGGCCCAATAGGGCCGATGCCGATTCGGAGTCGCGGAGAACCTAACGGGTAACCGGGGCTCCGGCTCGACGTGCAGGAGAAGGAACTGGGTGGTTTTTAGTCAGTAAGAGTCTGACACTCCCTCCCGCCTCACCCTAGACGGGAGCAGTCATTCGATGATTTTCCCCCCTTAAAAGAAAAAAAAAAAAAAAAGGGTAAGTTTATAAAAATCTAAAGTTAAAAATGTAATCATAAAAAATATAATTAATTAACTACCAACGGCGAGTACCAATATGACTTTTCCGAGTTACATTACATTTACTTACACTGACAAACAGTGAAGGAAACCTGGACTTTTGACTTTGACTGAAAGATTGATTCAGTACAGAGACAGTAATTATCGGTTGTCTACTGTATTCTTGACTCGGAGGTCGAAGCCGCACATTTCTCATGCATGAGAGTGCGGGTCCAAACCTACCAACACAAAGTACCAATGTGACTTTAACCGAGTTACATGTACTTTCTAAGATAATTTACATACATACATACATAACCTCACGCCTGTCTCCCATGGGGCTAGGCAGAGACTAAGGAACACCAATTACTACGATTCCTACATACCTCTTTCGCTTCATCGACAATCACCAAGCTTTTCATGCACGCTCGTCGGTTAAGGGTACTTTTAATTTGGCCCTTCTTTAATATATCGCCAATCTGGTCACTCTAAGTACATCTAGGGCGCCCTCTACCGACGGCCCCATTCATATCCGCTCTGTTATTCTTTCATTACTCTACTTTCATCCATCCTTTCTACATGTCCAAACCAGCGTAACATTCCCTTTTCAATCCTTGTCATCTTTCAATCCACACCTTTCTCTAATAACACACATTTAGTGTCTAAATTTTAGACCCCACTGACAAACGGTAAGGAAAACATCGCGAGGAAACCTGGGCTTATAATTTCTCATTCTAAATCGCCAAACCGCATTGACCAAGCGTGGTGATTAATGCTCAAACAATCTCCGTGTGAAAGGAGGCCTTTACTCAACAGTGGGTACTTATAGGCTGTTGATGAATTAAAATTAAACCGCAAATGAAGCTCCGTCGCTGGCTTCGACATAGGTATTGTAGGTACTAAACAGATATATATTAGGCATTAAGTACTAAATAAATCACTACACTTCTAACAAGCTGCCAATCAACTCCGCACTGATCCGAATCTTTAATTAGAAAGCAAATCAATTAATTAACTCGTCGAGTACCGGTTTGGTAGACACAATTATAGAACAATAGGTTGCGGTCACCGGTGACCGCTTGGTGTTTGACAGTTAATGTAATCTTCAATGGCGTGATTGACGTTTAGATTTACGATGCGTCAATTATAGTGCAACTGTGATACTCAAGAGTCATTTAATGATTACTTGAACCATTTTGTTCCGAAAACAATTGCTAAGGACTGAGGTAGCCATTTAATGACTGATTATGTCGGTATTTTGTTTCTTTCGCCTCAACCGGGTGAGAGAAGTGATTGGTTGATTTTGCACCTCAAAAAAAAATTTGTTTCTTACATTAGTTGGTTAGTTTTGTATCTGTGGCCTCTTACTTAGCGGCTATGGCTATGTGTGTACAAGACATGTTTTTAAGTGTGGGATAGCCATGCTTCGGCACGAATGGGCCGCGTCGCGGAGTGATATCACGGCCTCACAGAAAACCGACGTGAAGCAACGCTTGCGTTGTGTTTCGTCGTGTGAGTGAGGTTACCGGAAGCCCAATAATTACCTCATTCCCTAGTCCCCGTCTCCCAAATCTCCGAATCCTCCACAATCCTCAAATTCCCAATTCCCAAAAGGCCGGTAATGCACCGATCGACGCCGATTGCTTACCATCAGGTGATCCGTCTGCTCGTTCGTTTACTGGCTTATGCTATAAAAAAAACAGTTTTCATTCTGAAAACATACCAATTTAAAAAAATACACTTAAAATGCATTTTTAATTTGAATAAGTTACAAGAAGTTGTGAGGTTTAATTTTAAGTAACGAATACCTATGTTACTAGAATGCTCACTTTTGTTACGCAAGATTAATATAATTATAATTTTATCATAAAACACGATAATTATAATTTTTACCTTCTCACCATGTTCCTACCTACATAATTATCAATCACTCATATTTTATGTGATGAATATTAAAATTAAAATACCAATAAGACTCCTAGAAATAAAATATTATAACGATATGGTTATTATTTCGTCAGCATAAAACTATACTGAGCCTATTAATAAATGCATTAATCAATATACATTAGCAAAGTTGTACGTTGTAATCAAAATATTTTTCGCGGAATTTTATCTTCTAACGCCATCTCGTATCGAGTAGCGCCACTAAATTCTATTTATAAAACATAACCTTGTCTATGGCACTTGGCACAAGTACCCGAGTGAAGTTCAGTTTTGACAGTTGTAATGTAACAGTGGTCATCCTAGTTTTTTATACCTCCTTGCATTTTGATACCAAAATATTAGATATTCGTAAAGTGGTATTACGTGAACAAGATGAAAATGAGAGCCCACGCACATCGGGAAAGGTGGAATGCGACCCGCTAGCGACGGTGAGTACGACATAAGCTCCTCGCTACAATGCTAGTGCCTGTATTTTTAACTGATTAAAAAAAACCGTAGTCAATTGGCTGTTAACCTTTTAACTAAAAGCGGGAGACGCGTAATTCGACGCTATGCCGTGTATAATTTTATTACTATTCGCTCGACGGCGCATACATTAGCGGGAGGACGGTCGCCCACATTCATTTTCGTGTATAGTATTAAACGCCTAACTGTACTGTAATCGTTACTTATCAAACGTAATTGTTTCTTTATCTATATTAGTACAAATTTCATATTTAAACCCTTGATTGGGTGTAAACTGCTTGATAATACATATTAACTGTATGCAAAGTTTTATTATCATTCAAATAGTAATCAGTGATTGTGGCTTCGGATTTATTTGTGAATAAAATATTTGGCTGAACGCGAAATTCCTTTGCACATCTATGGTGCAAGAAATATTATGCAGGGCTCTTTATCAGGTGAGTTTTAAATATTAATTTACAATTTTTAATTATTCTTTTTTAATTTTTTTTACAAAACTTAGTATCCTTAGATGCTAAACAATAAATTGACTATGTTATCTATATTCTTATAAGATTATATTAATTTAGACTAAATTGTATCTGTTATTAAAAATAAAACAATGCAATAGACTAGACGGCTCCATAGATATCTCGAAGTTGTCCTTGTAAACAACTTACTATTTTTTATCCCAAAAAAAAATAAAGTTAACTAACAATTTGGTGTCTTATGTTATACAAAATTGATTATTTAATCTTATTGTATTTTAAAATGGAGGTGTAAACCATTAACTTGATTTCATTATTAAACAAATTAATAATAAAGATACCATTTCAGCCTAAAAGAAGTATTTTAATGTTATTTTAATGACCTTGCAAATTTTATACATATATTTTTATTTTTTTCGGTTATAGCAAGTTTATTTTTTATACACATTATTTATGAATATATTATGGGACATTCTAAATTATGTTTTAAGACATAAAGTTATAAATAATTAAATAATAATAAAAACATCTAGGTTTTTATGTTTCAACCAAAGAGTTTTGTTCATTATGCAGCCTAATCTATGCTATTGTTCTTATTAAAAAGCTAATTATATTCATAAACACGACTAATCTTATCATGGACATGAAATTTTATTGATTCTAGATTCTAGTGCACAGTTCGTTGATTCCTTAAATTTTTTTATTCAATAAAATGATAATTTATTGTAGATGTGTGTTCTTGTATATTTGAGAATTAATCACATAGATAATAAAATATAATATGAATATATTTATAATCTATTTTTAAAAAGTATACAGGTTGTTTTTTTTTTTAATTTTGTCAGGCTGAGAGCCTAAGTCAAAGTTCTTTATTGTAGACTGTGGTTACAGAATTCTTGTTCAAAGAATAGGAAATATTAACTCATTGATTCGTCAATCTATCATTGATAAAACCTCCATATCTTTTATTAAAACAGTTAATTTGTAATCTAACCATGTAACAATGATTGGAAAATATTTTAAATATAACACTATCTTTGAGATATATATCAAACAATTTATCTTTTGTTAAAACTGTTTTTAAATGTAATTATCTGTTGATTAGACATAGTTTATGTAATTTTTATAATCTGTTAGCGTTCGTATCTCTTACATTAGCTACTGATCTTTTGGTGCGCACGTACGACATTTTTTGTGACGATTTTTTATAAATGCGTCAATAAAGATATCCATTAAATATCGCGGTAACTTTTAATCGTTGATAAAGTTAAATAGCTTTGACCCGCGGCTTTATCTGTATCGAATTGAGCTATTGATTGCAAGGTTCGCGCAGTAGCTGGGTGCCTGGCTGCTGTACAACATGTCGCGGATTAGAATCCCTCACAAAACGATTCTTTTGGGGACTTAATACGTGTTCGCCGCTCTGATTGGCCATCTCCAGTGATCCGACCAATCAGCACCGAACGCCGTTCTCGTTTCGATGACGTTAAACGTCAAACAAATTTGTACTAGGGCCTCGAAGATCCACATATTCTTATTCCGTATCTAATAAGCACGTGACAATATGTGTTTGTAAACGCACCCACGAGTCCACGACACAAAACATCCTAGTGTGAGGCAACGGTAAAAATATCTATCTCCTGCTCCCGCGGCCGCCTAACCATTGTGTTTATCAAACGCGATAATTAAATCACGACGATCAATCTAATTCTTACAGATAGTCGACTGTCCAGGCGACACACGTACTTAAGTATCGTCATGAGCTAATGTTCACATGTAAACAGCAGCTCATGTAGTGCAGAGATTGTCCAGTCAACAAGGATGTAGCGTAGACTGTCCAGGCGACACACGTACTTAGGTATCGTCATGAGCTAATGTTCACATGTAAACAGCAGCTCATGTAGTGCAGAGATTGTCCAGTCAACAAGGATGTAGCGTTGACTGTCCAGGCGACACACGTACTTAGGTATCGTCATGAGCTAATGTTCACATGTAAACAGCAGCTCATGTAGTGCAGAGATTGTCCAGTCAACAAGGATGTAGCGTAGACTGTCCAGGCGACACACGTACTTAGGTATCGTCATGAGCTAATGTTCACATGTAAACAGCAGCTCATGTAGTGCAGAGGTTGTCCAGTCAACAAGGGTGTAGCGTACACTGTCCAGGCGACACACGTACTTAAGTATCGTCATGAGCTAATGTTCACATGTAAACAGCAGCTCATGTAGTGCAGAGATTGTCCAGTCAACAAGGATGTAGCGTAGACTGTCCAGGCGACACACGTACTTAGGTATCGTCATGAGCTAATGTTCACATGTAAACAGCAGCTCATGTAGTGCAGAGATTGTCCAGTCAACAAGGATGTAGCGTAGACTGTCCAGGCGACACACGTACTTAGGTATCGTCATGAGCTAATGTTCACATGTAAACAGCAGCTCATGTAGTGCAGAGATTGTCCAGTCAACAAGGATGTAGCGTAGACTGTCCAGGCGACACACGTACTTAGGTATCGTCATGAGCTAATGTTCACATGTAAACAGCAGCTCATGTAGTGCAGAGATTGTCCAGTCAACAAGGATGTAGCGTAGACTGTCCAGGCGACACACGTACTTAGGTATCGTCATGAGCTAATGTTCACATGTAAACAGCAGCTCATGTAGTGCAGAGATTGTCCAGTCAACAAGGATGTAGCGTAGACTGTCCAGGCGACACACGTACTTAGGTATCGTCATGAGCTAATGTTCACATGTAAACAGCAGCTCATGTAGTGCAGAGATTGTCCAGTCAACAAGGATGTAGCGTAGACTGTCCAGGCGACACACGTACTTAGGTATCGTCATGAGCTAATGTTCACATGTAAACAGCAGCTCATGTAGTGCAGAGATTGTCCAGTCAACAAGGATGTAGCGTAGACTGTCCAGGCGACACACGTACTTAGGTATCGTCATGAGCTAATGTTCACATGTAAACAGCAGCTCATGTAGTGCAGAGATTGTCCAGTCAACAAGGATGTAGCGTAGACTGTCCAGGCGACACACGTACTTAGGTATCGTCATGAGCTAATGTTCACATGTAAACAGCAGCTCATGTAGTGCAGAGATTGTCCAGTCAACAAGGATGTAGCGTAGACTGTCCAGGCGACACACGTACTTAGGTATCGTCATGAGCTAATGTTCACATGTAAACAGCAGCTCATGTAGTGCAGAGATTGTCCAGTCAACAAGGATGTAGCGTAGACTGTCCAGGCGACACACGTACTTAGGTATCGTCATGAGCTAATGTTCACATGTAAACAGCAGCTCATGTAGTGCAGAGATTGTTCAGTCAACAAGGATGTAGCGGAGACTGTCCAGGCGACACACGTACTTAGGTAGTTATCGTCAGAGGACATTATGGAAAACCTTGTGTATTGGAAGGAGTTCCGTAGTCCAGCAGTTTTCTCTCTTTGTTAAATCGCTCTCAGTGACGGGACAAATATACGTGTTTAAGTGTCGTCATGACCTAATAATGCAAAAAACCGAAGCAGTTATAAAATATTGAATTCTTGATTCATTTCAATAAACGAAAAAGATCACGATAACATCAATTTCTGGTTTTGAAATATCAAAATGTCAGCTTGTTGGTCCGCCCCGCTGTAGACTCCACCTCGAATGCATTTCTACACGTGATGTCCACGTGAAAATGCAGTTTTCTTCCACTGAGAGTTTGTTTTGGCATTTCTTCTCAGAGTAGTCAGTTAGGAAATGTCAGCGTCATCGTTCGCTTGTTAAGATAAAATAAGGTAAACATATTATTACCTCCTATTCCATAAAAAAAATAGTATAACAATAGCGATCGATTTAGTGTCTCTACTAAATCGATCTTTATTTTATTATCTACATTCTATATGATTTGGCTGGTTCTACTAACACAGCAGACCTAGGCATATAAAATATCTAAGTTTTTAATAACTAGGTAGGTATTACTGGCGTTTTTGACTATTTTATCATAATATTAAGTTGCAATCTCTTGATAACGCATTGTTATAATGACGTCACAGTAATCTGAATTAATGTTTCAATTTATTGGGCAATCTATTGTATACTAATCAATTCATTTTGAGGTAATATTAAACTCATCCGTTACTCAAGGCAGACCAAAACCGAACGTTACTTATTTTACGAGACAGCTCGATTAATCTCAAGCCGCGGTAGGGACTCATAGTCTCGTGCTGTTCTGTACACACGACGCGGCGATATTCGCGCAGCCAAATCATAAACATACATAACCTCACGCCTGTCTCCTATGAGGGTAGGCAGAAACTATCGAACGCCAATTGCTACGATTCTTACATACTTCTTTCGCTTTATCAACAGTCGTCAGTTTTTTTTATGTATACCCAACCCGAGAATCGAACCTTAGACCACTTGCTTCAGCATTCACAGTTGCCCTCCCACCCTTCGACCATCAAGGCAATTCACCTTTATTAAGATATTTATATCTGCCTCGTTGGCCGAGTGGTCGCAAGTGCGACTGCCGGGCAACGGGTCTCGGGTTCGATTCCCGGGTCGGGCGAAGTATTACTGAGTTTTTAAAAATCTCAGTAGCAGCACGGAGCCTAGAAATGTGCCCGGTATATGGCAATAGGCTCACCCCCTATTACATGGGACTCGTAACATAAATAGTAAAAATTGGGTATTACATTGTACAGTCGCATTAAGTGCTGAAATGTGCACCTCTGCCTACCCTTTCGGGGATAAAACGGCGTGATGTTGTGTTATGTTATGTTAAGATATTTATAAAAATATTTTTATGCACCCACTACCTAGCCATCCCACCATGCCTACCCCTCTAGCCAAAAAACGTAACAATACCAAAATATCATCAAATAACAAAACAGTATCATAGATTGCACATGAACCCGCGACCCCTGCATTAACAGTAAACGTTCTAACTTATGAGCTATTGAGGTTGGCTGCTCATTAATTGAG